CTCTGTACCTTGTTGCCCTTTAGCCCAGAATAACCCATGGCTTGGTGCTGCTTTCTTGTCCCAGAACCCCCAGCCAACGTCCGCACTTGAACTCATCATGAGGTCTGCTCACCACAGTTGGGGGCCTTTACAGGCAAGGGTTTTGCACCCATGGTCAAAGGAGGACAAAGCAAGTGTCATACTTTATTTAATCAGGTCTTGAAAGTTAGCAACAAGTTGTGTATTATCAGCAAAAATTGAAAGCAACTGAGAAGGGCACAAGAGAGCTTTATGGGGTGATGATGATGGTAATTTTTTGGGTGGGGGTGGACAAAGTCTCACTGTCACTCAGGCTGGAATGCAGAGTGATACAATCATAGCTCACTACAGACTCAACCTCCCAGACTCAAGCGACCCTCCTGCCTCGGCCTTCCAAGTACCTGGGATTACAGGTGTGCACCGTCACACCCAGCTAATTTTTAATTTTTGTAGAGACGGGGTCTTGCTATGTTGCACAGACTGGTCTTGAACTCCTGGGCATCAGCCATCCCCCATCTCAGCCTACGAAAGTGTTGGGATTACAGATGTGAGCCACTGCACCCAGCCTGTGATGATAACATTTTATGCCTTGCTAGGAGTGTGCTTTACACTGGGGATATACACTTTTCACAGTGAACTGAATGGTGCACTTAAGATACATACATTTCACTGTATGTAAATCTTACCTGAAAGAACAACAGTAAACAAATATTGAAAGTTAGATGTATGATGAAGTCAAGTTCCACCCTGGAAGATTCCCCTGTGTAAGTAAGTGCATACACATAGTCTACCTCCAAAGGGAGACCACCTGTATCCTCATCCTACTTTCTGCTAGAGAAGAAGCCAGCGGGGGCTACTTTGGGCCCTTAGGTACTCTTTATTTAATCCCCAACTTATTTGGAAATGCGTTCAAAAAATAAGACGGATAGCCAGGCATGGTGGCTCACTCTTGTAATCCCAGCACTTTAGGATGCTGAGGCAGGGAGGATCACTTGGGGACAGGAGTTCGAGGCCAGCCTGGGCAACATGATAAGCCTTCATGTCTATATTTAAAAAAGAAAAAAAAGAGGAAAAAAAAGACAGACGCATGGATGGACAGAGGGATGGAGAGATGGATAGATGTGACAAAGCAAATATAGTAAAATCTTATTTGTAGAACCTAGATAATGGACATAGGTATGTTGACAACAATTCTTTCCTCTTTTCCATATGTTTGAAAATATTTGTGATGATATTTTGGAAAACATAAAATTGAAAGCAAGCCAAGATGTCCATAATATGGGGAATGGTTAAATAAATTACTGCACAGGCATCTGATCTGATTTTATGAAGTTGGTAAGACTGGTGGTTCAGATAACTTTGTCGGAACTGAGAAGTTATCCACAACCCAACGTCGAGTGGAAGCATCAGCATGTGAGCAGTATGGATATGCAGAAGGCTCACTGGCTTTTTCAGCTGCATACTGCTTGCTAAGAGTACAGGCATTAGAATGTAATAGACTCGCCTGCGTTCAAATCTGTCCTGCCACTCATCACCTGGTTGAACTCCCTGTGTCTCGTTTTGGTTCACCTGTGAAGTAAAGACAGCAGCATGTACCCCACAGCACTGTAGGTAAGGTCAAATGAGTCAGTGCTCATGAAGGATGGTCCTAAATCAATGCCTAATGCTGAAAGCACTCAGGAAGAGGGAGCTGCTGCTATTACTGAGGGTTTCCAGGGTTCAGGGCAAGGCCCCTCGTAATGACGGATGCACACTCAGGGATTGGCTGCCAGATCCAGATGTGGGGAACAGAGACAACTGGCTGATACACAGGCAGAACCTTGCCCCACCAGCAAAAAACTCTTATTCCCTTAGCTAACAGGTCACCATAATTTTTTTAAGATGCTGCAAGAAAAACAGACTGGATGGATGTACCCTTATAAAACTCAGTGTCTAGGTTAAGCTGGTAAGATTTGAAACACATTTCTTTTCCCATCCCTGTTCTACAGTTCGCCTGTTTGCTTCTCCATCCCTGCCCCAGCATAACTCCCACACGCCCTTCAGAAAGCAACTCAAATAGCACCTCCTCAGGGAAGCCCCACACTGATCTGCCAGACTAGGCCAGTTCCCCTGGTACAGCCTCCCATAGAACTTAACCCTCTTTGCCGTTATATTTATGTGCATACAGTTGTTTATTTAATGTGTCCCATTAGATCCCCAGAGCCCAGCACAGTGCTTGAAGCATAGAATATTCTAAATAAATTTGTTGGAAATAAATTCCAGGCTGGGCATAGTGGCCCACCAGCTTTTGCACCCATGGTCAAAGGAGGACAAAGCAAGTGTCATACTTTATTTAATCAGGTCTTGAAAGTTAGCAACAAGTTGTGTATTATCAGCAAAATTTTAAAGATTAAGAAATCCCTACTTTCTTCTCTTAATTTGTTGTTGTCATGACATGACTGACTCAATAAGTAAAAATTTTAAATCCCTGCCCAA